ACTACAGCCAAGTCTTGGAATCTGGTAGACTGATTACTCTCACTTCATTGTTCTTTTTCAAAATTGATTTGGGGTCAGGTGCAATGGCTTATGTCTTTAATCCCAGCACTTTGAGAGGCCAACGTGGGAGGATTGCTTGAGCCCAGGAGTTTGGGATTAGCCTGTGCAACACAGTGAGACCTCATTTTGAAAAAATTAAAAAGTTAGCCTGGTATGATGGTGAATGCCTCTAGTGCCACCTACTCAGGAGGCTGAGACTGGAGGATCACTTGAGTCCAGGAGTTTAAGGCTGCAGTGAGCCAGGGTCATGCCACTGCAATTCAGCCTGGGCAACAGAGCGAGACCCTGTGTCAAAAAAATAAAAATTGATTCGATTATTCTAAGTTCTTTGCCTTTTCAAATGAGCTTTAGAATAAATTTGTCTATGACTACAAAAATTATTGCTGAGACTTTGGTTGGAATTTCATTAAAACTAATGGCCACTTTTGGGAGCATTGATATCTTTACAGTGTGAGATCTTCCAATCCATGAACATGATATGTTTCTTCACTGACTTAGGTCTTCTTTGCTTTCTTTCAGCAGCATTGTAAGTGTGTTTTAATTTGTTTTCCACATATTCATTGATAGTATATAGAAATGCTATTGATTTTTGTGTATGTTAATCTTGAATCCTGTAGCCTTGCTGAGCTCACTTATTAGTTCTAGGATTTTTTAAAAAAAATTTCTTAGTACTTTCTCTGTGGACAATGATGTCATCTAAAATAGGGACAATTTTATTTATTTCTATTCAATTTATATGCTTTTTATTTATTTTCTTTGTCCTACCACACTGGCTAGAACTTCCAGTACTATGCTGAATAAGAGTAGTGAGAGTGCTCATCCTTGCTTTACTCCCTATCTTGGGGAAAGCATTTCGTCTTTCGCCATTAAGTATGATTTAGCTGTAGGTTTTTGTAGCTACTCCTTATCAAGTTGAGGAAGTTACTCTCTATTCTGAGAGTTTTTGTCTGTCATGAACCAGTGCTGTATTTTGTCAAATACTTTCTCTGTGTCAATAATCTGATCACATAATGTTTTTCTTTTTTAGGCAGTTAATATTGTATATTATATTGATTGATTTTACCACATTGAGCCAACTTTGCATACTGGGAAAAAATATCACTTGGTTGTAGTGGATGTCTTTTTATACATTGCTAGATTTGATTTGTTAAAGATTTTTGTGTCTAAGTTTGTGAGGAATACTGGTACACAATTTTCTTGTATTCTTGTTGTCTGGTTTTGATATTAAGGTAATTATGTCCTCATAACATGAGCTGGAACATGTTCTCTCCTCTTTTACTTCAATGATTGCTAATTCTTCTTTAAATGATTGGTAGAATTCTCCATTAAAACCATGGGGCCTAGCAATGTCTTTTTCAGGAAATTTTAAATTATGAATTTAATTTTTATGGTTAGGATTATGGTTTAGAATTATTCAGATTGCTTGATTTATCTTGGTTGAGTTTTAATACTTTGTGGTTTTCATGGAATTGGCCAATTTCTTCCTAGCTGTCGAATGCTTTAGTCTAATGTTGGTTGTATCAGTCCCTTATCCCTTTTATGGTTGCATTATCTGTAGTGATAGCCTGTTTCATTCTGGATATTGGTGATTTATATCCTCTCTCTTTTTATCTTTGTCAGTCTCACTAGAAGTTTATTAATTTTTTTCAGAAAACTCGTTTTTGTGTCATTAGTTTTTATTACTTTTCTGCTTTCAATTTCATTTATTTCTGATCTTATATTTATTATTTCCTTCCTTGTGCTTGATTTTCAATTTTTGCTCTTCCTTGAGGTAGGACATGGATTATTCATGTAAGGTCTTTCCTCTTTTATGGCCTCATGCCTGTATTCCCAGCACTTTGGAAGGCCGAGGTGGGAGGAGCTTGAGACCAGCCTGAGCAATGTAGTGAGACCTCATCTCTACAAAAAAAAAAAAGTCAGCCAAGTGTGGTGACATGTACCTGTAGTCCCAGCTACTCAGGAGGCTGAGGAGGGAGGATCACTTAAGCCCAGAAGTTCAAGGCTGCACTACTCCAAGTTTGGCAACAATGAGACCTCTACTCAAAAATAAAAAATCGTTCCTCTTTTCTTTTTTTCCCCTCTTTTCTAAGGGTAGCATTTAGGCTGTAAATTTCTCTCAGCACTGTTTTAGCTGCAACCACATAATTTGATATATTGTTATCTAATTATCATATTATACTTATAATATAGAATGCATTTGTTCTCATTTGTTTCCTCTGCTTCTTGGGCCACTTTTCTTGCCTTCTTGTGGATTACTTGAACATTTTTAAAATTTCTATTGGGCTTCTTAGATATTTTAAAATATGTTACTTTGTATAGTTTTATGAGTGCTTGCATAAATAAGCATATGTAATTTACTACAGACTAGGAGTATGGATGACTTACCATTTCGAGTGGCATATGTAGATCTTATTTCCATTTGGTCCCTTTATCCTTCTTACTTTTTCTACACAATCGCCTTAAGTATTTCCTCTAAGTACACTAAACACCATATTATGTGGTGTTATTATTTTTGCTTCAACCATAAAGTATGATTTAAGAGACTCAAGAGAAGAAGGTAGTCTATTATTTTTACCCTTTCCATTGTTCCTTCCTTTCTGAAGTTCCAGACCTTCTTCCTTTAATGGTAAACATGCTGGTGACAAAATATCTCAGTTTCCCTTCATCTGAAAACGCTGCTACTTCCACTTTTCTCCTGGAGGATGCATTCTTCAAATAGATGACTTGTGATTGACAGTTCTTACAACACTCCAGAAATGGGCCGCTTCCTTCTGGCCTCCATGGTTTCTGATGAGAAATTCACTGTCCTTTGAACTGCTGTTCCCTATAGATGATATGTCATTTCTCTCTGGCTATTTTTAAGATTTTTTTCTTCTTTTTTAGTTTTCAAAAATTAACTATGATGTATCTTAGCATTGATTTCTTTGGGTTCTTCCTATTTGAGATTTACTCAGCTTCTTGAATCTATAGGTTTATATCTTTTGCCAAATTGTATAAATGTTCAGCTGTTATTTCTTCAAACCAAGGTGACTTTTAAGCATGTCTTAAGTTTGAGTAACATTGCTGTGAAGTAGAATTCCGTGGTCCAATAACTTCTCAAGTTGTCTACAAAATTCTGCAGGTGTTTATGTTTTTTTCACTAGGTTCTCAAAAGACTCCATGACCCTCACCATAAATTTTATAAAAATATTAGTTTATGACCTTATTGGGTTATTTTTTGTTTCCTTGGCTAAAATCAGTAAAAAAACGAGTTAGTATCCTTTTCTTTCCTTGTACCACATCTGCTGAATTCCTGTGTCCCAAAGATTTCCTCACAGTTTTGGAAAATAGGATCACTCAGGTGACTATTTTCTGAATGGCTAATATATACCAGACAAACATTTAAGAAAAAATTCCCCCAAGTCAATGAAAAGGCAAAGAGGTTTTAAAAAAAAAATCATTTTTGGCTTATGAATAGCTCTGAGTAACAAAGAATGCTGAAGTAAACTTGGCTGCTTATCTGTGTGACTTGCCCCTTTAAAATCTGTTGCAACTTGGCAAGACCTCATCTCTACATTAAATCAAAAAATTAGCCGGGTGTGGTGGCACCCGCCTATAGTTCCAGCTATTCGGAAGGCTGAGGCAGAAAGATCACCTGAGCCCAGCAGGTCAAGGCTGCGGTGGCCAGGAGCGTGCCACTACACTCTAGTCTGGGTGACAGAGTGAGACTTCAACTCAAAAAAAAAAAAAAATCTGTTTCTTGCTGCTCTGAGCAGTAAGAAACATGAACGATCAAATTACATCTCTGAAAGTATAATTTCATATGTTAAAAACAGGTCATTACTCAGTTGGCCCCTTGTCATCTCTCTGGCTTGCTTTACACAGTTGGTAGTTGGGCACTTAGTTCCCTAAGCAGGCTTGTCCCTGGCCAAGTTCAAGCTGATTCCTCTGCCTGGTACACCCTCACCTCCTTTGTCACCCACCTTCCTTGGACTAACTTCTGCTCATTTTCCGAACTCAGGTTGAGAGCACCATCTCTGGGAAGTCTTCACCCTCTCTTTACCAGGCACTGAGTTGAGTATGTCTCCAAAGGCACCCATGCCTTCCAGAACACCACATCATTTATTGATTGCCTAATTGGCCCTACCACCAGACAGTGAGACCCTTAAAGGCTGTGACTAGGTTTTGGTTGTTTTTGTGCCCCTCGTACTTTCATAAATATAATAAGACTTACTTAAGTTAGAGTTTACACCACCTGCTGCCTGGCTGAGTTTTTCATCCATTTCTTTATCAATGTCATAAGTGTCTGTTGAGCTCCTTTATATATAGATGTGGCAACCAGACATTCAGCCCTTCCCCAGAAAGGTTAATCTTTCTGGAATTCTTACAGCATCTATTTATCAATTCACTTTAGACTTTTTCAGAGAATCAACAGGAAGGTTATTGGTCTTCTCGTACTTGAATACCTATCTTTCCGTTTGGGGGAAATACGGACAACACTGACCTCTGCCAGTTATCTTCTTCTTCTTACTGCTGGATCTTATGAATCTCTTATTATTGAATTTACATTTCTAGACTTGTCTTTCCTATCAGGCTATACACTCCTCAGGGCAGGGACTGTTTTATTCAACCCATAGTCTCCAGGGACTGGTGTAATCTCACAAATGCTAGTGGAAACAAATTTGGTGTGAGGTCAACACAGCTTTAGTATGCCCTCTGGACTCCAGATTTGAAAGCAGCCATAGAAAACCCTCCCGGTTTTAGCATTTTTATTTGCCTCAACTTCTCTTGAGCTTTAGCTTTTATGAAGCATGATTGAAACATGCATTTCCTCACCTCCACATCTTTAGTACCTCGTTCTCTTTTATCCTTCATTCTAAACCACTATGGACTCTTTTCTAGAAAGGAGAAATGGGTAAATGCAACACATTTTAAAGTAGTTTTTTTTTTTTTCCTCCCAGGTACTATCTCGGTCGTCGGATGTTTATTGTAATTTCTGAGCCAGACATGATCAAGCAGGTGTTGGTTGAGAACTTCAGCAACTTTACCAACAGAATGGTACGTTGTTTTCTTTCTGTGTATAGATGGATGAGGAATCATTCTACAAGGCACACACCGCATATCAGATCTAATATGGATACAATCAGGCCTCTTATCAGGTTTCCATCAGTTCCACTCAAAACTGAGCTCCCTGATGAACTCAGGTCTTCAAAAGAGATATATAAGAGTGGTACAAAAGAGTGGCATTTGCAGTTAAGAAATGCTTCATGAAAGCTAAAGCTCAGGAGAAGTTGGGGCAAATAAAAATGCTAAAACCAGGAGGGTTTTCTACCACTGCTTTCAAAGCTGGAGTCCAGAGGGCACAGCTAATTGACTGGGGAAGAACTTAGTGGAGTTGATCAATATCGGCAGGAAAGCAACTTCTGAGGCCCTTGTGCTTACATCTTTCCAGAGAACATAGAATATTAAGGCTGGAATGGGAAGACAGCAACATTAGGAGAGAAATGTGTCCCCAAGGAAGAGGAGGAGCCTTTCGGAGGGCTCAAGGTTAGTTAGTTCAAGGTTCCAGCCTTCTAAAGGATGAGAATACCTCTCTTTTTTCTTAGAAAATACATATATTACTATTTGTCTTTGATAAGAAATCTCAAAGAATGGGAGAGGTGACAGAAAATGACAGAGGCCAGTGTTGTCCATATTTTCCAAACAATGGGGAGAAGTATTTTAGCACGGAAGAGCAACAACCTCTATGTCGATTCTTGGGAAAAGTCTAAAGTGAATCAATACACAAATGCTTGTGAGAATTCAGAGAATCACTGTGACAACCATTTTGGGGGGTCAAATGAGACCTCATTTTTCCTTCTCATAGGGATAGTAGGTAATGTATTCATTCTTTCCTTGATTATTTGGCAAACCCTTATACCTCTGCCACATGCCAGGTGCTGTCTAGGTGCTAATTGTGAAGAGGTAGAGGACATGGTCTCGCCCTCAAGGAGCTCACAGTGTAGTGAGGGAAGCAGATGAGTAAAGAGGTGAGCACAATACAGCGTGATGAATATTCCTGCAGTGCCATCTCTCCAGGGCCACCCAGAATGTGGAAAGGGGAAAGCTGATTAGGTGTGAGAGGCATAGGACTGTCTTCAAGACTTGAGTGGGAGTCCCCTGTGTGAGGCGAGCCATCCTAAGGGTTTTCTTATCATTAGAAGAACTTAGGAGATGGGTAAAATGACCATCTTGTCTTACAGACAAGGAAATGAAGGCTCAGAAAAGTTAAATGACTGACCCCAGTCATATGACTAATACGAGGAAGAGCAGAAATTCATGTGCCATTTCCCAACCAGTCCAGAGCTCTTTTTACATCACAACTGTTGCAGCTGCATCAGGTGACAGTTCTGGATGTCAAGATTTAATTGAGTAATTGGCTACTTTCCCAAAATATGCTCTATCATGCCCAATTCCAGATGCCACATGGCCCTAGAGGGAAAGGACCCGGAAGGAGATGACTGCTTGGCTTGCTACCTCATCAACTGGGAATGGCCGGAGGAGTTGTAGAGGGTTAACTGCTTCTCTACTGCCACTAGATTCTCTTCCCCAAACGCTGTGCCATTATCTCCCTGTACAAAGTCCCCTGAAGTCCTTCTGTGGAGTTGGGACCTTAGAGACTGAGTCTCCTGGTTAAATGCAGCAGTGGTTGTGGACTGCCACTCCATCCAGACTCAGCAAGGAGTATTGATTAAAGCAGTTGGAGAGTCCATGAGTCAAAGTGCACAGACCACCAACCCACATCAAGCAGGCAGTGAAGGTGCTCCCAGGAGCCCCCATGGCTATTGAGCCCCCTGAATACCTGAACTGAGATGGAACAGCCAGCTGTCTCCATATTGCTCCCCATGACATCCAGGATGTCAGGAGGGCTGTACTTGGATCCGTGTAATAGGCAGATGTACTCAACGCACATGTTCAAGAAGAGGGGATGGAATGAATTGCCCTGAGCTTCAGTCAATTTCTCCTCCAAGCCATTTGTATGCTGTCTCTAATTTCTTCTACACCCCTTTTCCCCCTCCAGACTAAGGTCTCTAGGTCCAGGGCCCCATACTCCAGAGTATGGTTCCAATTTCCTTCTTCCTTCACTCAGCACAGGATTAAGCCTTCAGGATTAAGTTCAAGTTCTCCAGACAAGATTTAAGGGCCTTGCCAATTTAGATCCATTACATGTGCTCTGCTGTCTCTCACTGCTTCCAGTCCAAGTTGGCACTCCAGCTGGCCAAGCGTCTCCATTCTTTCTCTCCTTTGCCCTGGAGAGCCTTGCCTTTGACCCTTACTCATGCTGACACCCACCCCCGGAACCAGAGGCACCACGGCCGTGGGTCTTGCATTTATTGCAACGTGAGCTGGCACACATGCTTAACTTCTTTAAGTGTCTCATTCCTCCTTTGAAAAGCAGGGAGATGAGTTATCTCCCAACTGTTGCAAGGTTAAATGGGATCATGCATATAAGACCTGCCTCTACACGGTACTTAGCTATTGACACAGTAGTGTCAAAAAAAACCCCTCCACCTCTTCTATACCTGTCCAAGTCCTAGTTATTCTTCAAGACTTTCCTCAGATGCTGCCTCCTCTGTGAAGCCTTCCCTACCACCATCCACATTCCCTCCCCACTTCTCTGAACTCTGACAGCACTTATCCTCTGCATCATTCAATTTCATAACTGATCCCTCCCACTACTTACCATCAAGGAAGACATGGCTTCCACCCTAACTTGATTATTAGTTCTTCAAGGCCAGGAACTGTATCTTGTACTTCTTTTTTATACCCGATGGCACAAACACATAATGACTGTTCAGTGTCCGATATATCCTTGTTCAAATGGAATCGAATCTCCACCAACTTGACATTCTTACATTCTTCCCAAAAGAATGAGGTTGTTTTTTTTTTTTTTTTTTG